GCTGCATACAAGAAAAAACTGAAATTCACTGAGCTAAAAAGTAACCAAAATGCCAATTCCATATTTTTCAAATAAAAACAATAATGAAAACCCAGAGTCTTGCTTATGACACAAACAGCAAATTGCAAACCAGCCTCAACAAGCAAGTCCATGGAACAAGTAATGCCTAATATAATTTAAGTCTTCAACAAAACCCAATATCAAATTTCACTTTACTCAGAAGATCAGAAATTAAAGAAAAATTTCCAGTATTTGATGCTATTTGTATTCTTAACAAAATACATTAATACTTTCAAAAATATGTTTCCTAAAATACTGCTAGGATTACAAAACTAAAAGAGCAAATATCCCCAATATTTGCCTAAATGCTAGTAACAGGAATGTATTAGAAATGTTATTCAGCCACACAACTGCACTTAATCATCTATCAGTTCTGCTAAACAGTACAATGTACCCTAAAAGAAATAAGGTAAATCTCTTCAGTCAAAATTAAGATTCAATGAATTCCTAGTGAAACTCACACTTTTTCCAGAACAATTCCTTTGGCATGAGAAGCTCCCCCAAAAGGATTGGCTTTCAAAGCAGTACCCAAATGGGCCTTCTTATATTGCTTGTCATGCCACTTCTGTTCCCGACGGTGACTGCGCAGCTTCCTGGCTGTACGAAGTCCACGACACTTGCCTAGAAAATGGTGTGATAAAAGTTATTAGGAATTACAATTAAGTTTGTAAAACTGGACCTTCATCAACTTTCCGTATTTAAGTAGGATTTCTAAGATTCATTTTTTTAATCTACTCAAAATTGCACTAATGTTTTACAGTATTTTCTGATACTACATCCAGGATGTTTTTTGCACAAATTTAAGCAACTGATTATACTGAAAATGAGATACTTTATGCTAAAGCCTTATAAACAAAATTTGGAAGATCCAAAAAGATCTTGACACTCGAACAATGGGCCCTATCTCAAAAAGCAAAGTCCTACATTTAGGTAGGAAAAAACAAAAGCACGAATACAGATTGGGTGAGACCTGGCTTAAAAGCAGTAACTGTGAGAGGGATCTTGGAGTCCTAGTGGATGATCACTTGACTATGAGCCAGCAATGTGCAGCAGTAGCCAAAAAAGCTAATACAATCCTGGGTTGTATAAACAGAGGCATAGAATCAAGATCATGTGAAGTATTAGTACCGCTTTATAAAACCCTAGTTAAGACCACACCTGGAATACTGTAGCCAATTTTGGTCACCACACCACAAAAAAGATGTTGAGTTTAGAAAAAATTCAAAGAGCAACTAAGATGATCAAAAGCCTGGAGGCTAAAACATACGAAGAATGGCTGTGGACTTGGGTAGTTTAAAGAAAAGAAATAGGGGAGACATGATAGCAGTGTTTCAGTATTTGAGGGGCAGAAGGAGTCAGGTTGTTCACCAGAGCACCAGAGGAAAGGACAAGTACCAATGGTTGGAAACCATTGGAGAGAAGCAACCTGGATATAAGGAGAAACTTCCTGACAGTGAGGACAATCAACCAGTGGAACAGCTTACCCCCAAAAATCATGGGCGCCCCATCACTGGAGATCTTTAAGACTCGACAATCACCTGTCTGAGATGGTGTAGATTCTCCTGCTTAAGCAGGGGGGAGGCTGGACTAGAAGGCCTCCAAGGTCCCTTCCAGCTCTATTCTATTATTGCTCCAATATCTTGTGTTCCCCTCTTTGTGTGTGTGCATACAAATGCACATAATATATATTACGATTTCTGAAGTTCCCATCTGGTTTCCTTTTTCATAGCACGTTCCCAATTTATTTTAATTTTCTTTCTATTGGTAATACACCTAGTAACAAATGGGAATTTATATCATTATTCACTGCAGAATAAATGGGGATTTAAACATTAAAATGAGAGAAATCTGAATTTGGTAAGCAAATCTCACTATGTAAGCCAAATACGATGTAAAAATCATTCAGGCACGCTGGCTGAGGAATTCTGGGAGTGGAAGTCCACAAGTCATAAAAGGGCCAAGTATGAAGATCCCTGGTATAGACTTTTATTCCCCAAATTTCTCAGGAGCGGTCATGCTGGCTGTAGTCTCACCAACATCATGAAGTTACTACAGATGGGAAACATTGGCTCTAAAATGCAGGGCTGTGGAGTCGGAGTCGAAGGAAATTTTGGGTACCTGGAGTCGGAGTCGGCAAACAATGCACCGACTCCGACTCCTACTAAATTTAGATTGGAATGAAAAAAAAAGCAAGTTTAAATGTCCCAATTCACAAAAAGTTATAATTCATGACTTCTCTACTGTAAGAATAAAGACCAATGCATGCAGTGCCTCACGTAACCGCAAAACGAACACGTTAAGTGACCGTGAAGAAGCATGCTTTTAATGTGCTTCACTATATGGCACGCAACGCACAATCAGGAGCGGCAATACTTATACTTTCCATAGTGTTGTGTTCTGCTGTTACAGGGAACGCAGCGCCCATGGGTAACCTAGCCTCTCACTGATAAGGGATTAAGTAAATATGTTTTTTGCAGGACTAGAGACACTTGTATAAGTGAAGGGAATGGAGGGTCAATAGTTCAAGACTGAAGCTGTAAACCATTGGAAAAACTGCTGTCATTCAGCTAAGGCTATAAAAACTTGCAAACTCCGATTGTTAGCTTATGAATGTATTTTCAATGTCACGCTCTTCAAGCCTGTCAAGTTTGAACTCCCATATTCCCTAACGAGCACAACTCTGGCAAAGCTTGTCCGGGAAGATGGGATTTGGATTTCAATGCATCCTTAGAAACTCAGGTTAAGAAATGTACTCTCAGTTTCCGAGTAGGCAAATCCTGCTGGCCGATTTTTTTAAATATACCATCGCTGTTATCTCGTATCAGGGAGCTCTATGAATTAATAACACGAGGAGGGACTAATGTTAGGAACCCACAAGGGGGGCCCTCGTGGTGCTTAAAAAATGGAGTAACGATTGCTCTGAGCGGACGGCGGCGGGGGGGGATGCTTTTTTCCGCCCGCCAAGATCCCTCAGCTACAATGCGGCCCCTTTTCACCCCTCCGTTCAGCCCTAATGCGACGCCCAGATCCGGAGCACCTCACCCATCGTGTCGCCCGCGGATCCCGAGGAGGAAAAAGAAAGACCCAGAATGCACCGGCCTCGAGGACCCCCCGCCCCTACTTTTAGCTGTCTAGCTGAGAGCCTGCTGCGAGAAAGATAGTTGAGGCGCGGTGCATCGTGGGGCATTTATTTGGCCGCCGCTCCTTTTCTGATAAGAGTCTCATTCGCTCAAGCCTAGAAACAGTAGACCTCCAACCACCTTTGAAAGATTTTAGCCGGTTAGGCTGGCTTTCTTGGCGAAGATAGGAATCCAGATTCTGTGGGAATGTGTTTTTGTGTGCGTATCTTTGAGGCGTTTCTAATTTATTAGGAATTTAGGATCACATGTGAGCGGCGTTGTAATTTTTTTTCCTTCCCGCTCAGCCCACGCTGTCGTTCGCCCTTTCTTTTCTCTTAACAGAAGAGAGTGTAAAATCCGGCGAATCAGGCGCAAGGCACCATATCTACGCGGGGTCTTTGCCGCTGTTACGTAGATCCGCCGCAAAGGATTGTGGGTCTTTTTTTGTCGTTTTCGGCTCGGGACGCGGCAGCGCGATGGGTGAGCGGAACCTGTAGCTTTTGTGGCGCCCGGTATAAGCGGTCCTTATAGGTCTGGGTGTCTGCATGGGGGGGGGGGGGGNCGCAGCGCCCATGGGTAACCTAGCCTCTCACTGATAAGGGATTAAGTAAATATGTTTTTTGCAGGACTAGAGACACTTGTATAAGTGAAGGGAATGGAGGGTCAATAGTTCAAGACTGAAGCTGTAAACCATTGGAAAAACTGCTGTCATTCAGCTAAGGCTATAAAAACTTGTAAACTCCGATTGTTAGCTTATTAATGTATTTTCAATGTCATGCTCTTCAAGCCTGTTAAGTTTGAACTCCCATATTCCCTAACGAGCACAACTCTGGCAAAGCTTGTCGGGGAAGATGGGATTTGGATTTCAATGCATCCCTTAGAAACTCAGGTTAAGAAATGTACTCTCAAGTTTCCGAGTAGGCAAATCCTGCTGGCCGATTTTTTTTAAATATACCATCGCTGTTATCTCGTATCAGGGAGCTCTATGAATTAATAACACGAGGAGGGACTAATGTTAGGAACCACAATGGGGGCCCTCGTGGGGCTTAGAAAATGGAGTAACGATTGCTCTGAGCGGACGGCGGCGGGGGGGGGATGCTTTTTTCCGCCCGCCAAGATCCCTCAGCTACAATGCGGCCCCTTTTCACCCCTCCGTTCAGCCCTAATGCGACGCCCAGATCCGGAGCACCTCACCCATCGTGTCGCCCGCGGATCCCGAGGAGGAAAAAGAAAGACCCAGAATGCACCGGCCTCGAGGACCCCCCCTCCCCTACTTTTAGCTGTCTAACTGAGAGCCTGCTGCGAGAAAGATAGTTGAGGCGCGGTGCATCGTGGGGCATTTATTTGGCCGCCGCTCCTTTTCTGATAAGAGTCTCATTCGCTCAAGCCTAGTAACAGTAGACCTCCAACCACCTTTGAAAGATTTTAGCCGGTTAGGCTGGCTTTCTTGGCGAAGATAGGAATCCAGATTCTGTGGGAATGTGTTTTTGTGGGCGTATCTTTGAGGCGTTTCTAACTTATTAGGATCACATGTGAGCGGCGTTGTAATTTTTTTTTTCTTCCCGCTCAGCCCCCTTCGCCCACGCTGTCGTTCGCCCTTTCTTTTCTCTTAACACAGTGTTTCTCAACCTTGACAATTTTAAGGCATGTGGACTTCAACTCCCAGAATTCCACAGCCAGCATTGCTGGCTGTGGAATTCTGGGAGTTGAAGTCCACATGCCTTAAAATTGCCAAGGTTGAGAAACACTGTAATCAGACTGAACAGAAGAGAGTGTAAAATCCGGCGAATCAGGCGCAAGGCACCATATCTACGCGGGGTCTTTGCCGCTGTTACGTAGATCCGCCGCAAAGGATTGTGGGTCTTTTTTTGTCGTTTTCGGCTCGGGACGCGGCAGCGCGATGGGTGAGCGGAACCTGTAGCTTTTGTGGCGCCCGGTATAAGCGGTCCTTATATGTCTGGGTGTCTGCATGGGGGGGGGGGGAAGCTACTATCCCATTTGGTTGGTTTCCCAAGCCTAGATATACGTATACAGTATGAATATATATATAATTGAAACTGTCCGCTTTATTGTCTGCCTCGATGCTGCTCTCTTCGGGTCAGATTTTCTTTTTTTAAAGCGCCAATTAGTTTGCGGAAGTCTCCTTCGAGTCCAGTTCGATTTCCCTGCACGCGCCTTTTCAGTTTCCTGGCAGGGCTCAGAGGGAGTTTGCTGTGGCTTTGGGCCGCTTTTTAAAACTTTTAAAATTTAGTTTGCAACCTTGGTTTTTTCCCCTCAAGGAACCCTATCCTATTAAGTAGATCGGACTGCAAGTAGCTTGTTTGTCAATTGTCACCACAATAAATGTCACCCAAATATCAAGAGTCGTCGATGGATCCAAGAATAAAAACAGCATGAAAGTTTAACGAAAATAAATCAGTAGTAAGACCTTTTGAAATGAGGTCCTTCGGATGAAATCCAGGGAAAATTCTTCTTCTCATCTCTAAAACTTTCTTTTCTAGGCAAGTGTCGTGGACTTCGTACAGCCAGGAAGCTGCGCAGTCACCGTCGTGAACAGAAGTGGCATGACAAACAATATAAGAAGGCCCATCTGGGCACTGCTCTGAAAGCCAACCCTTTTGGGGGAGCTTCCCATGCTAAGGGAATTGTCCTGGAAAAAGTGTAAGTGAGATCTCACCATTATTAACTAGAGTGTGGAATTATTTATAATTGAACTATTGCTGTTAGAGGTGCTCGGGTATTCCCGATTCTCCATATGAATTGAAGCCTTAGAGAGAGACAATTTGCATTGGTTATTGGAATGGGAATGTTCTTGTACCTACAACTTCAAAAAGTCCATAATAAAACTTACAATCTACCGGTAAGAGAAAGACCTTCAAGGTTATTGTCCTAGCGCAGCTCTGAATGATTTCTCTGCTCCAATTATTAAAATTAGAAATTACATGTTTGATATAGAATAATAAGCATTTTGGTCTCGGGAACCTTTACATTATTAAGAATGATTGAGGACTCCAACAAGCTTTGGTTTATATTAGTTATTTCTGCATTTCATGTATTAGAAATTAAAATGGAATGATTTTAAAATATTTGACTTTGCCAATCTCCTGAAAAGACCTCTCAGGGCCCCCAGACCATGCTTTGAGAACTACTGGTTTACCTATAACAACCTTAATCCGTCTTTTGCATCTTTTTAAATGTTAGGTTTCTTTTGTTTTTGTTTTATGAAGCATATAACAGCCAGTTATTTGCCTAAGGATACTGTTCTATATGTTTCTACTTACTTAGAAACAAGCCCATGGAACTCAGAGAGACTTCAGTTTGTCTTGTTGAATTCCATGGGTTTTATCTGTATGCTTATCTGTGTTATTACTTACATAATTGTCCAGTTTTTCCTTACAATAAGTAAAATTAATGTTTCAGCGTTATGCACACTTACTTGGAGTAAGATCCATGGAAAATAATAAAGAGATACAGAGATGCCTGGATTTTGCTGTGTTCTTACGTAAACAGAACTAGCTGTAAATTGTGCCTTAGTTTTGATTGTTATTTCCACATGGGAAGACAACCCCAAATATCATATGGTTTTGTGATCTTAAGATTATGAATTCAGAATATGAAGATTGTATAATTAGATGCTAAGCATTATTATTGTACTTTAGAAATGTATTATAACAGCGTCTGTATTGTTCAATTCATATTTCAGTGGTGTAGAGGCTAAACAGCCGAATTCTGCCATTAGGAAGTGTGTTCGAGTTCAGCTTATCAAGAATGGCAAGAAGATTACAGCTTTTGTTCCCAATGATGGCTGTTTGAATTTTATTGAGGTAAATACATTGATGGGTATAATACGGCACCTAATTGAAGGTGGAAAATTATTAACTGAAACTAAATCATTTTTTTTCTTAGAACTGAAAATTGTAAAAGTACGATCATACTTTTGTCATCAAATATTAATTGCTGTCTTGTTTTAAACTAGGAGAACGATGAAGTCCTGGTTGCTGGCTTTGGTCGGAAGGGTCATGCTGTTGGTGACATTCCTGGAGTTCGCTTCAAAGTTGTTAAAGTAGCCAATGTTTCTCTACTAGCCTTGTACAAAGGCAAGAAGGAGAGACCCAGATCATAATTCCTGTGATGCTGTGACTGGATCTAATAAACATTTTTGCTTTAATAAGGTTTCCCTGATGAGTCTTTCATAAAATGGCCCAGAATGTGTGTCTGTGTAAATTTTTCATGATGCTTTTGACTTTATTCTTACACAATATCCCAGAGTTGCTTTGTTTGTAAGAAAATCCTGCCGAGCTCAGGAGATTTTCATTAGTTTGCATCAATGTGGGTACAGCTTCTGTTCTAAATAGGATCCATTTTGAATTAAGAAAATGAAAATTTTAAAGTTTATTTTGTAATACTGATCGCTAAGAAAAGTATATTTTCTTTGATGTAGTAATGTAACAAGGGACATGCAAGGGTACAGAATAAACCATTTATTTAAGTAAATGAAATCTGTCTTTTAAACTTTCCATAGCAGTTTCCAGAGGATTGTATACCCTGTTGGACATCTTTGCATGTGAGGAAAAAAAAGAATTTAAAATATTAGGCAAAAGACATAGTTGGAATTAATTAATCAAAGAATTTAAAGGAAAATTGGTAGCCTTTGACCCCATAAGTGCCATTCTAACTTCAAAATGGTCATAACTGAAAGACTACCCATATAGCCTTGTCTCAATTTTTTTGTTATGTTAGATTATTTTATCCCATGTCTATTATTTGTATATTACAGGATGGCAAACACATCTGATACTCCTTCCTCCTATTTTCCCCACCCAACAACCCTGTGAGGTTGTTGGGGTAAGAGAGAGTGACTGGCCAAACCTGTAGCCAGGCTATTTTGTCATATCTATACTGTGGTTTCCTGTCTTGTAAATGGATTTTGTACAAGATGTTTTGGGATTCCTGTTTTTCCCAGGGACATTCCACAGCTAGACTCAACACAATCAAATGATTTTCTATAACCAATAAAGCATATATTGACTTCTTTTTAGTATTCTTTGGCTTTCTCACTTACCTCTCATCAGCAAAAATATAACTTGTTCCTTGGCCTTTTCTAAAAAGAGCTTGAATATCTTTTCTCATGTAGAGTACAGCCTGTGTTGGAGATCCTATGTATTATTTTGCTAGTATGTGAATATTGCGTGATAGTGTCAGGCTCCAAAAACCAAGAAAGGCATGCAGAGTTACATCTAAGTAGTTTCCTTTATTTTTCCTCACTATAGACAGAAATCTTGTCAAACTAAAGTAACTTTGCATAAATAAAAATGTACTCTGAGTACTTCTAGGGAGGAGCTATCTTGATCCTCCCAACCAAACTATCTAAACTTAGCTGTTTCTTGGTCCTCTGGAATGCAGCCAGTCCCTCCTGGGAATCCAGACTCTATTTCACCACAAATATTTTGCTTCCTTCCTTCCTTCCTTCCTTCCTTCCTTCCTTCCTTCCTTCCTTCCCTCCTTCCTTCCTTCCCTCCTTCCCTCCTTCCTTCCCTCCTTCCTTTCTTCTTTCTGTGTTCTTTTGGAAGACTTCTTCTTTTTTCCAAGTCTGTTTCCATCTTCAGTGTTACAATGTGATATTGTTTTTGTTTATTCTAGCAACTCTCTGAAATTCTTTGTCATGTTCCTTTACTTTTTTAAATTTTAGCTTCTCTTCCCTTCTTTGCTATTTCCATCATCTGTTCTGACATCCAGTGTGCTTTCTTTCTTGGTCTTTCACAATCTGTTTTCACATTCATCCTGTATGCTCATGATAGTTTTCTCCTGGAAAATATTTGGGTTTTTACTTCCATTTTAACTTAATTTGGAATTTGCATAGGGCAGCAGTTCTCAACCTGCTTTCTACAGTATAATCCACATTGGAATTTCAAGGAGGTTATTAAATATGACTGGATTAATGATTTAATGTCTTAAAATGAGGACATTTTGATAAGTATTTTTATATTCAATTGGCAATAAAACTGCAAATTTTCTAAATACATGTTTGGACAAAAGAAAGGAAAGAAAAAAAGAAAAGGGAAAGGAAGGAAGGAAAAATGAATTTATAGTTTGGCCCCCATGTTGCTGGTATTTCATATCTTACTTAAAGGGTAATTGCCTATCTCAACAGAGATTAAATTATTAAACCACAACCAATGGTTCTGGGGTGATATGAGCCTTCCAAAGTCTCTAGTATGGTCTATAAAGCCTCCAAAAGTATATGTCATTTTTAAAAATATGATAAAATCTTCAGTTGGATTTGATTTCTGATGGTATCAATTATTTTCCCAGTAGTCATTTAGAAGCATTCTAGAATCATCCAATCGTCACTGTGTCAAAATATTAATAACGAAGGCAGCCTTTTTATTATTTCAGTGTTGATGGGTATTATGTGTTCTGTTTTCTATGAAAGCAGTATAAATCACCAGAGGGGCAATGACAGTATTATGAAATCATTAGAGTTATGACAGTGAAAATTTAGATTCCATCATGTCTTATTGTGTTACAAAGGCAAAATGTTTCTTGCGTGTTTCATAATGGAGGTAGGTGTGAAAACAACAAATGAAAGACAACATCTGGCACAGTCTTCTCAAATTTCTATGAACAAGGCAGCTTTATTCTCACAAAGGTCTGGAAACACAAAATTAATAATAGTTTTACGGTATTTTCTTTTTTAAAAACAATTTTCTTTTTAAAAAAATATTTTTTTAAAAAATATCTTTTTTAAAAAAGTATTTTCTTTTTAAGCTGGTTTGTCATCAGGTACTAATATGTTCTCTTTTTCTCATCTAGGATTTTATTGTGAGACTTATCAAATAATTGTTTTGTCAGGTTAAATTTGATTGGTCTCCATAACCATTCACACTGGCAAGCGGAAACTAACTCGGAAACAAATTATCATTTTTCAAATGGTATTTTCTGAATCTCATCCAAATATATATTAATAATGTAAATTGTTAGATGGCCATATATGAGAAAGAGGGTGGGAGGGTGGGAGAGACTTGTTGATTTTATCATCTTGGCAAGCTCAGATATATTGTCCTATTTCATTTTTCTCATAGGCGATGTGCACGGACAGATTATAACGGGAGGGCATAGAAAGCTTTTGTTTGCTAGATAAGGATGCAGATGGATCACGGAAAGTGAAAGTGAAGCTATTCAAGTGCCAGCTGCCCTATTCCAGGGGTCCCCAACCTTGGCAACTTTAAGACCTGTGGACTTCAACTCCCAGAATTCACCAGCCATGAGCAGAATATAGAAATAACCTTTGCATTGCCCCTTTCTGAAATACCTTGGTATTCAGTTGTTTTGTGTAGGAGATATACCCAATTGTTTGTATTTGTTTTAAAAACCCACTTTTATGAAAATTTTCCTCCCAATAATCTCCAAAGTAGAAAAAATATAGCTAAACAATCCAGTGATCCCACGACTTATATTTTAATTCCATGCACATGGAAGAATGAACATAATGCTGCTGTCATGTAACAATTTAGACAGCTTTAGTATTAAAATAGATTTCTGTTAGGCGATATCTTTTGTCTTAGTAGTTATTCTTCAAGTATTCAACTATATCTAATCCTTTGGTATGAATTTTAAAGCACAAAAGGAAGGTGACTGTACGTTCAGTAGAAAATGTCCAAGACAGCCTCTTATTTTGCATAGAGACTACATGACAGCTCAGATGGTACTGAGCACTGCTTCCTATTGGTTGGCTCAGCTGTCTATCTCTGGTTGCTGAAAATACTGGCTCTTGTTTCTTTGCTACACATGAACAGATGTGCTGGGTCTGGAGGGTCTGGTTTATTTCTCAATGGAAAGCAGTGCAATTTTTAGATTTTTATTTCTCCTTTTCTGCGTAAGATTTTCAGCATCTATGGACCAAATAGCTGCAAGAATGGAAAGGAGGTCAGTGAATTTATGAGTGTGTGCAAAAAGTGTGGGGGCAGCTGAATGAAAGGTTTATGTTTGTGCTTTGTAGAGGATAGTAACCATATTAGTAGATTGATCATTCAGGTGTTGATGATTAGGGAGTTATTTGTTGTTGTTTTTTTGATGTACTAATCACAGGCAAATAGTTTCAACATTTAAGATGCTGAGATAATTTACTTAAAAACAGGGCTGTTAACATCAATTCTCTTGATGAAACTATTATAGATGAGAAAATAAACAGTCCTGTTGTGCACAATCTTATACTTAAAACCGAAAAGCTATGAGAAACATTAGTCTCTGTTGCATTTCTCTTTTGCCATGATAGTTTGATTTCCTTTCCTTCCGCACTGTTAATAACAGAGATATAAATAAAATAGTGTAGGTGTAAAACGTACAGCCGGAAACAGTGCTGATGACATTGAAAAAAGAAATTTAAGAAAGATGAAATGAAGCTTATAATATGAATTTTGATGCAAATTCAGGTTTACCAAAAAATGTGCAATCTCATTCTTGTTCCCTGTGCACAATTTTATTTGTGCAGTATAAAACAACCTCAAATATTTCCCCAAGGGCTTGAGTTGAGGAAAGTTACAATTATAGAAGGAAAAATAGTTACCCAGAGAGATATGTTTTGTTTCACCATTAAAATGCAGGTCAGATTAAGACGGGGAGGCTCACAGCTGTGCCTTGGGGTAATGGATAGGTGCTTGTATTAATCTGTATATGTAATTGTATAGATCTGTAGTTTGGCTAAGAGATGAATTAAAGTGTACTAGTTATTTATATTAATTACATTGGCTCATAAATGCAAGCAAGGGGGGAAAAGCCACATGTGTGATTTGTAATAACTTATCTAATTTTACTGCATTAAATTTGTTTTCAAAAGTCTGTCAGTGTTTAGGAAAGTATTTCTAGAGATATATTTAAGTCTCTGGAATGCAGGATTTCTCCAGTTCTGGGCTCATGATGTAATCAGGATCAGAACGAGATGTAAGATAGCTTTTCTTCTTTCTTGTTATTTAATGATCATTAGGGTATGGCATGGGTAGTCTTAGAGGGGGTAATTGATTTATTGCAAAAGTGATTGGGGAAAGTGATATTTTAGGGAAGAAATTCTCTTGTCTGTAGAAGGGGGTTAGTAGTAGTTTTTGTGGATTTTGTTAGTTGGCAATTCTGCCTGTGTGTAATAAAGCACCACTGACATAAGGATTAATGGAACTATAGTAGAATTTGAATGGCAAGCAGACGGATTCAGTGTATTATTTTTTCTCAGAAAACTCGTTATGAATGAAAAATGAAAAAAAATCTGTTGATACTAAATTCTTCTGTTTTCCCTATGCACAGTCTCCAAATCATAAGTGGATACTGGAGGCAATTTTTGATGTCCTTCCATACCTTTGATATCTATTGCTGCTTTGATCTCCAATGTCTGAGCAAATCTGAATGATTTTATATGGGAAAATACTTTGTAATCGATGGTCTTTTTGTTGTCCTAAGTTGCATGAACCATTTTACATTAAAATAACATGGATCTGAGTTGTAACATATTTAGCCAACCCCAAGTATCACAAAACTTAATTTTCTGCAGCAACAGCATCAAATGTTAATGCCATGAATGACCTTTACAGAAATTTATAAGTAGCCACATTTCAGGAAAGCAATATTCGGGCAATTTTTTTTGTTTTGTTTTAAGCAGTAATGAAAGATAATAGTTGGTTAAAGTCTCCAATTAAGTCCTGATTTCCAGGTTCAAGAATCGAACAGTTGTACACTTAGATTCTAGGTTCTCCCACAATATAATTGTCAGTACTATAAAAGATAGCGGTGATGCTGAACCCCTATATCTGTGATGTGTTCAATATTTTATGTAGACATTTAGTTTATGCACTTGATCACAGGGGCCACTTGCTTTCCACAAGATGTATATCCATTCCATTAACCTGCTTACCCTTTAATTTGGTGTCTTTATATGGCGTCACCCTGAGCCTTAGCCAGTATACAATATTCACAGGTACAGACTGCTTGTCCTATTCAATGGCATTTATGCAGTTTGGCACTTTAGTTCCCTCCTCCAACGGTTCTTGTGAC